AAACTGAGGATTAGACAGATGGGTCACTTTTCCGAGGGTCCACAGCTAGTGACAGATGAAGACAGGATTAGGGTCCAGGGTTTCATGGGGGGGGGGGGGGGGGGGCGGTGGGGACACCTTGCCTTTGGTTGATTGGAAAAAACCTGGAGAGGGGCCCATTTATTGGGGGCAGAGATCGAAGGGTGGCTGCTTGCGCTTTGCCAATGGGCCTGTTAATTTATTAGATGATAAATCTGATAGGGTTTGGGGGGTTTGTTTTAAATAAAGCTTTGGTTAGTAAAGCTATAACCTAGAGGGGGGCTTTTTTATTTTCAACCTTGAAGAGTTTCTTTGTTTTTAAACTTCACCAGTATGTTTACTGTTGTCATTAGTGATTATGTGATTTAAAAAAAAATTTTTTTTTTTTTTTTTAAGTAATGTCTATACCCAACGTGGGGCTGGAACTCACAATCCGTGATCCACAGTCCCATGCTCCACCAACTGAGCCAGCCAGGCACCCGCTGATGATATAATTTTTGAAACTTTGATGCATGTAGAAGAAAGCTTGATTTTCAATGCATAATGAAACACACAAAAACAGTTAAGAAATCAGAATAAACTTGAATAACTTTTTAAAAAACCATTAATTACTCTTGAAAGCTAATTCAGAATGCCAAACCTATATTGAAGCTGAGTAAAAACGGAACATTGAATAGCAAGGTGCAAAATAGGTCCGTGTGCACGTGTCTCGTTAGCCGAAGTGCCCCGTCTTTGTCGAAGATTTGATTTTCAGCGAAACCCCCCTACCTCTGCGGGATTGTTTCCGTGGGGGCGCGGGGGCGTGAAAGAGCGCTGTTTTAACACCTGTCGCCTCAGAGTTGAGGAACGTGTTTTGGTGCCTGTAGCGCATCAGAATTAGGGATGTCGGGTCCCAAATAGGGAAGAGCTGGTAAATGAGGCATGTTTTTCTGGTCAGATCAGGTAAGGCAGATGGCAGTTTTGGAGAAGGCTCGGCGAAAGTGGAGAAAGCTGACCTGCCGGGCCTCGGGCGCTTCTCCTTCCCGCACCCCTCCTCCCCCTCCTCCTCCAGACCCAGCCTCGCCCTCGTGAGACCTCGTGGCGTTTGCAGAGGGCTCACAGCCCCCACCGAGGCCGGCGCCTTCTCCGCACGCGCGGGCATGGGGGGGAGCGGGCTCCGGGCACATGATCCCCCCGCTCCCGGCCGGCCCAGCACCTGACTCAGGCGGGGCCGGTGGGGGGTCCGGGCAGACCCGAGCCGCGCGTCCCGGAGCACGGCCCATGGCCTCCCCACGCCTCGGGACCTTCTGCTGCCCCACGCGGGACGCCGCCACACAGCTGGTGCTGAGCTTCCAGCCGCGGGCGTTCCACGCGCTGTGCCTGGGCAGCGGCGCCTGCAGTCTGGCGCTCGGCCTC